AATCAAAACGTCTTTGGACAGACAAGTATCTGTGTGTAAGTGTGTGTATGTTTGTGTGTGAATATACTAAAAACCATTTTTTTTTTCAAGATAGAGACAAGCGCTTTGCTTAATAAGCATAAGATAATGAGCGTGTACATTAATGAGCGAGCTTCTCCTGTAATACGAATGTCGGTTGTTACAATCGCAACCGATCTCTGTTAATTGTCACGCAAACGGACACCGATGCATAGCTTGTTCTCCGCGTGTGAAACTCGAGCCGTGAGAGTCTCTTGAAAACGATGCGTCAGCTTCAGTGAGATGTATCGTATGAAAAAATGTTTAAACGCGTTTGAAAATATGATTTTTACGTCAATAACCTTTTGCGTTTTTTTTTTAAAGAAAATAACAAGAGATATTATATATGTAACGATCAAACGTAATAATATAATCATATATATATATATATATATATATATATATATATATATATATATATATATATATAAATTTTCAGGATTTTGCTTTCGCAAATTTGTTCTTTTTTTCCGTCGCTTCGGACGTTGTTTTTTTTTTTATTCACGACTTACCGTCGACCTACTGATCTCATTTGAAAACGAAAAACCTTTGATTGTCGTCGACACTCACACCGAGCCAGATTTAATTTTTGATCGATTTTATTTAATTTGATCGATTAGAATTTTTCATTCGTCGCTTCTTTTATCAACGTTAACAACATTAACAACGTTACAAGAAACGACCAATTCAAAATATACAAACTCGATCGAATTAAATATTGCTCGACGAGTGACGACAACAATCAATTTCTTCGTTTTCAAATGGGATCAGTGGGTCGACCGTAAGTCGTGAATAAACAACGTTCGAAGTGACGGAAAAAAAAAGAAACTCTCGTGGCTCTTTGCACGAGCTGTCAGGCGCGAAGGTGAAACTTTTTCTTTTTACGCGACAGGTCAATCGGTCTCGGTTCAACTCTTCTCGCAACGGGAATAGTTGTTTTTCTTGTGCTCTTCTCTTTTCAGGTTTGCTACAAAACAAAGAGAATATTCACTATTTGGACATGACAGATAGTTTTTGGCCAAAAATTACAGCAGGAGTTGTGTTACTCTTTTGAAATTTTATATATATTTTAATTTTACAATAAGTACATATCTTCTCTAATAGTTTAATTTTATTTAGTTCAAGTTAATTTTATTTAGTTCAAGTTTTTTTTAGAGTTAATTTCATGTTTGTAGAGTTAAGATCATGTTTGTTTTTGATTAAAGAATTTTTATAAACGTATTTTTTTTATATTAAATAAGTCTTCCGAACATAAATGATACTTCACAATGTAAGAAAATGTAATAACTTTTAGAAATATTGTGTTTGTTTAAAATAACGCGCAAAGTGTTCGTAAATATCACGTGTTTTTTTTTTTTTTTTTAAATAAAAGCTCTCTTGTACACGTGTACCAGCATGATAGTAACAACCTACATTATAAAGTAGAATATTTTTCTTTGTTAGTAAGCAAAATATTAGCTGTGTGACAACTAGCTCCGATTTGCTCTAGAATACGCAGAGTAACTTCGAGATTTAAGCTGCGCCGGATTTTACACCGCATAGATCAGAAAAAATAGAAGAAGTGAACTTTTGTCTCCGCTAATTGTTGATTTAGTCTTACAAGACATAAAGAGCGAGGCTCTGCATTTGATTGGGATACAATTACCTTTTTGGTGCAGGACACTGATTGCACATGACAGTATAACGTTATAAAAATACTTTTTACGAACAACACATCTGCTTCTTATACATGTGCGTAAGCGGACAACATATCGGAGGGATGTGTATATTCTTGAAAAGCGCGTCGTTGTTCGATTTCGCAAGCAAGTTCCTGACATTTTCGTGGCGATGTAGCGCCGGCCTTTTGTGAAGTTGTCAGTCAGTCAACCTCACACACACGACGAAGAGAGTAAGATATTGCAACAGCTGATCGGTCAGTCGCACTGTCAGAAGACGATTTGTTAGCAGCAGTCTTTTATTCGGCGTCGCATTCGTATTGCGCAAAAGCGATTAACAACAGTTATACCACAGCGAGTTAAGTTTAAGCGATTGTCTCCTCGAATCTTTTTCTCACTTGCGAAATTATGTCCAATGTTTCTATTTTATTCTATTTTATGAATTGGTTGTAAAACCCGTTGAAATCGAAGAAGTTCTCGTCTTGTTGCAAAACACAGTAATATCAAATAAATAAAAACAATTGATTGCGACGAGTAAGAAATGCAAACAGATTTCTAACACATGTATTTTACAATTCTTTGTACAACACAAAACACACGACACGTATCGACAATTAGATACGGAGGTGTGTTTTCACTTCACGTTCGGCTTGACAAGAAAATTCAAAAATTCTGCAAAATTACCGCGCCGTATATTTCTCCAAGCACCGACTGTAATTACGAGAGAGATGCGCGCGTGAGCAATGTAGTCAAGCGTGCGGTCGGCTTAATCACGTATCTTCACCGTAATAGTACCGTCGGACAACGGTTTAATAGGCCGCCGATGGCGTATTATATAATATCTACGACCGATACGTGTTCACATGTTACCCAATAAGCGTGTCATTACCGCTTGCTTTAAGTACAAGATGTATGCGCACGCATATTACGTATCTTATTGTATTATTAATGGCTTTACGTTAATTATGTTGATTCGCAAAAATCAATCACGGTGTTTCGTTGATTCTTTTATTTTAATTGGATCTTCCGCACTCCAAAATCTTCAAACAAATATAAATTAAAGTGTTTTTTTTTTTTTTTGATATTTTGACAATTTTAATATTGTAACAATTATAAAAAAAATTACAAAATTTAGATTGTTCTTTATCAGAATCTCTTAAGAGAGAAGTGTGTTAAAAATATTTCATGTATAACGTACATTCATACATACGATATTTGCGTGTAGAGCTGCTTCAAAGATTAAGCATTTAGCGCTTCTTTGCTGCACGCAACTGTGAATTTTTTCACATCATCTGTGCATTCTTCTGCGCTCGGACTGACAATACTTATTAGATAGTTTTTTTTTTCTCGAAGATCACGCTACATCTGATTACCATTGACTTGGTCACTAACACCATCTTATCCGCGCGACTGGGCATTCCAGGGAAGCGAGCATGCAATCATTAGGTTGTTAGGTGATTGTGGTCGTATCCGAACATCATTACGTTGCACCATTGCGGCAAAGCTGATTCACTCCCACGACCTACTCGCGCCTCTTACGTTGTTAAATACCGTGGAAATGCGACCATTTGAAAATTCCGTATCTCCTTGTGTCTCTCTCTCTCTCTCTCTCTCTCTCTCTTTCTCTCTCGATTGCGCTTCTCGATCGCGTTGTTCCGTACAAGTTCTCTTGCGCGGTTTCGTTTTCATATCAGTTCTGGAAGATCTTTTAACACGTTGCCCGCACACGTCTGTTATTGAATCTCATCATTTCACCCGGTAAATCTTGTTTGCCGTCTAAACGTTTCTCAGCGCGACAAGATAAACTTTCTCTTTCTTTAATATGTATTATTAAAGAAAGAGAAAGAAACAATTGTGTTTATATACGTAGGAAAAGACAGTAGGTTGCTGATTACAGCTGATTATTTCAAGGTCATCAGACTGTCTTTCTGATCGTCGTTTTGTTTTTGTTGTATCAATATAAATATAGTGTCTCAGCCCAGATCTCTCTTTCTCTCTCTCTCTCTCTCTTTCTTTTTGAACTGAACTAAGGTTAATGTTAAATCTCATTTGAAACCCCACACTAATATTATGATGATTCGGTGAGTATAAAACTGATATGGTAATAACTCACGCGAGAGTAGATAGATGTATATAACATTTTTTAAATAATCATTACAATGTCCTCGCTACATCATTAATAAAGATCTTGCTGAATTAATTATCGCGTATAACAATGTTGAGACATCGCGGAAATAATTAAATTGTCGACTGATTAAAGACGATATTAATTCAGTAGTGTTTAATATGTCAGCGTATTCTACAAGTGGTCGCTTAAAGCGCGATCAGGCTTGTCTCATTATTTGAGAAAATTGCCATTTAATTAAATGAAAAAAAAAAAAAAAAAAAAAAAAAAAAAGATTCTGGAGGTAATAACGTGGTTAGAAAATATTGTTTCATTATTTTATACATCACTTATTATTTAATAGAAAGGAAAAAAGAATTTTTTCTACATTTTACATAAATAACTTTGTAATAACTTTCAATGTATATGCGAATAGATGTTATACTAAACTAACGATGTTAAACTAACGAAGAGCGCGCGCGTATATGTAATTTATTTTAACTAACGAAAAGCCGCGTCGAAACAAAATTGACTCCGCTTTCGTAATAAATCGTTCGGAATCGTCGCCGAGGTATGACCAACTCTCGTTCATCGACTAACTCGACTCGAGAAAGTGTACGTCACACACAAGATAAAAAAAATATCATCCAGGAAAGTTTGCGACGTGATATTATCGGGGAAACCTGTTGGTGGTAACAAGTGGACGCGCATGCCGACACCACCGTCGTCTCTACTCACGGTAAACAAAAGTGAACACTCGGGGCATGTTCTTGCACAAGAATCGAGAGAGGCTCGTCTGCTTTTAAAAGCACATTTGTAGCTCGTGAAATTGCGCGGTCCCCTTCTTCAACACGTATTTAGCATTGTAACCTCGATTCCTTTAAGTCTCGACACGGCAGCGCGCCGCCGCCGTGCTGGGCCGCGCACGATCGTCCGCGAACGATCGACGACGATGAAAGTCCGCGGCGCACGTCGCGTTTCTTTTTCATTTTACGTGAATTTTATACTCAATGGATTATTGACCGGAGAAGAAGCTTCAGAACGTTTGAATCGATTTCTCACGAGCGAAATATTCCAACTTATTACGTTACGATTCGAAAATGTCCTCGTGAAGATCGGTAGCGCTTGAGATAATAAGCATCAATACTATAAAAAAAAAAATACTGCAAAAAAGAAATACTTACGATTTGCACACTTTTGTGATATCGGAAGAGACAGGAATCTTCCAGGTCGGTTACTGTGCGGCCGAGCTTCATTGATCGCCGGTTCGGCATTGACGAAAGCCGAGAAAAGCACTATGACCAGTGGTACCAGCAACATCTGTTTGTAAATTATTATTACTATTAGTATTATTTACTATTAAGAATCTTTTTATTACACAGCACGATAATGTGAACTATGATCCAACTATGTAGGTTTGGAGTAAATTTTGTAATCCTTAAGAAATGAAAATGTAAAAAAACGTATACAGTAAAAAATAAAATGTTAATTTTAATTTGAGTGGATTTCCTGGGACATGTAAAAATGAATTAAAATAACTCATTCGTCATGTGTGTTACTTATTGACAAACTAATAATATTAAGTTAATTGACACTTTATATTTATTTTTGTTATTTTTGACTTTAAGTGTACTGTAAAAATAAAATAACGTATAAAATAATTGAAAACTACATGGAAGAACAATTGTAATAACTCGTAAGAAATGTACTTGTTCTTTTTGAAATACATTTCTTACGAGTTATTGTAACTATCTTTTTCCATGTACTTTTCAATTATTTTATGTTACTTTATTTTATTTTATTTTTATACATTATTTAAAATCAAAATAAATGTAAAAGATAAAAAATAAACCAATGTAAAAAAAACCAATATATGATAATGTAAAAAATAAACCAATATAAATGTAAAGAGTCATTTATTTAACATTACTAGTTTGTTAATAAGTAACACATGACGAATAAGTTACTTTAATCTATTTTACATGTCCCAGGAGATCTACTCAAATTAAAATTTACATTTTATTTTTTATTGTGTACATTAAATGAGATCGGAGATGTTAATTTTTTAAGTGACAAAATATCAATCACATTATCATGTGTTTTTTTATAATGTCCGTGATCTAAAAATAAGAAGTTTCATAAATTGAAATAAACGTCTCGCTCGCGTTAAATACAATATTAAATAAGCGGCGAATTTAATAATATATCACATTCGAAATTTAATCTGTTATATAACACGAAATATAAATCGTCGGATGTGAAACATTAGAGAGCGGGATGAAGAAGTTACTTAAATATCAATTTGAAACATTTAGGCGTCGCGCAATTTCATTACGTCCCGAAACAGTCGGGAGTAGTCGGCGAGAGTATCGTGTGTAATAACGTTGATATATGTACAGGTACCGCGCGAGCGAGAGACTCATTCGACAGACACACAAACATTTCCTTTCCATCAGAAGTTTCTCTTAGGGAGTGGTGTCCCGTCTAATGAAGTCGCAAGATGACTTTTTTTTTTTTCACGTCGACGCCGATATTATCGTCGTTTATATTACGCGATTGACATCCAGGTGAAACTGGAAATTTCTCCGGCGTGTTGGAAAACAACAAATTATATATGTATAAGAAACACAAGAAGCATTGTTAATTTGCAATAGAATGTAATCAGTTGAATTTTAGAGAGTTAAGACAAATTTAAAAAAACAACTGCGAAGAAATGTTGACAGTTTTCGTCAAACAAATATAATTTTGTGTGTAATATATACTGTGCAGAAAAATGTTAGAAGAACCGAGAAAAAGAGATTTTTATTAATTAACGAGCGCAGAAGTTTCTATCAAGAATCAAAGTTTGCTCAGTTTAATTTTCAACGCCACAGAGAAGAAATCCTAATATTTTAATTGTCTTGCTCTTATCGTCACGAATAACTTTCCCCTTTGCTGTCCGCAGCATCGAAAATTTGAACTCACCGTAATTACTCTCGAGACAGAGAGCAGATCAAGTAGATTTTCAATCCTTGGATGACGAGAACTTCGACACTCACCTTGTGATCACTAGTCTCTTGAAAAAGATTACGAACGGACGTGGATAGCGCGGTTAAAGAAACGTGGCCACTGATAGGATATGAAGAGACAGGCACCTTCACCGTTGATTATATAGAAATGATCCCCACCAGAATGGTGGGACTCATCCCACCCGTTTGCTACGACGATCCAGCAAGAGACTCTTCTATAGATCAAGTCATAATTAGTTCAGATAATTAGGGGTTGGAGATTCCGCGGATCGATTCTCCCGTAATCTTGAGGTAATGTCTCTCTCTCTCTCTCTTTCTTTCTCTCTCTCTCTTTATCCTCGCAGTCAGTGAGGAATTGACTTCGCGCTTTTTCCTTTTTTCTTGCGTGCCAAATCCGGTCTGCTTCCAGGAATTATTTAAAAGGATAGAGAGAGATTGCAATCGATAATTGATTGATATGATAATGTAAGTGACTTACGCAATCATTGAGATAGACTTCAAAGTGCTATTTATTTTGTTTAGTTTTAATTGATAAGAGAGCTGATATATTATGTTTATTTATTTTAAGATATGTTTTTTCTCTCTCTCTCTCTCTCTCTCTCTCTCTCTCTCTCTCTCTCTCTCTCTCTCTCTCTCTCTGTCTATCTTTCTTTTTGTTTATTAACAGCGTCTCGTTAATCGATGTTCGGCCTAGAAAGCATTTTTGTCTGAACATTCGAAATGATTATTGTTGCAATAAAAATTCAGAAAAAAATACATGTCGCATCGATCGCAGTAGACAACGGCAGATAAAAACTTTCCTTTTCTTTGAGCCTTAACTCAAGCTTGATGAATAGTCGGCTGGGTGTGCTCACATCTCTTCATATGTTAATGCAGATTCTCTCTCTGTTTTTCACGTATAATGAGATAAATTCTTGCTTTTTTTGAGCAACGACACAAAGAAATGATATAATGAATATGATGAAGTCTTATTAATAGCGCGCGCGCACACAAAAATAAAGATCGAAATGCTTAAGTTAATGTGTAATTTTTCAATTGCAAGTTGTGATGTACGAGGTCGAAAGAAAGTAACTTAACGAAAAATAAAAACGGCTCTAACTAGAAATTAATTAAATACGTAGAAAAACACAAGACTCATAGATGGTTTTATTTTCACTTAATTGTAAAAGACCTTGAACGTTTCGAGATACATCCGTGTGTTAGCTTTTGACTCTTACCAGCTCTTGGTTTTCAAAGGAATTTTAATTAAAAAAAACATTGAAACAAAAAATTTTATTTTATAATTTCATTACATTTTAAAGTCGTAATTAGAGCGCCAAGATGTAAACTTACTGAATGTCTCGTGAAACAGTAGTTTATTATAACTCTTCAAGTGTTTTTTTTTATCACTTGATTATTTCATTCAGCGACGATATTAACAGCTACAATGAATTGTACGGTAGCTGTGCTAAACGCCTTATTAAATTATTGCCGACATTTCGCGCGAAACCTCTTGCCGTTCGTATCGGATAATTGAAACGCACAATGGAGTAATTAACGTTCTCGACGATTAAGGTGCGGCCTATTCTTTTCGTACCTCGATCGGGATTGTTATCTGTTTTTACTGTCATTTACGGTCTTGTTTTTGCACCGCGAGAGAAAAACGTCGCGGTATCTACATATCTTTTTGAAAATTTGTAGCCGTCGTCTTTCGACGACACCGAATTTCAGAAACGTCATTTGCGTGTAAAGACTGTTCCTCAGGTAACCTTGAGAAGATGCGCTCCGTCAACTTTCACCTAGTGGTAACGTAGACGTTGTAAACGAGTAACAGAATAGTCAATGTCATCTGTGCCGCAACTCGTGGTTAGATTTAAGACGAATAAGAGTTCTTGAGAGTTTCTATAGTAATTTTCGCTCGGAGAAAAAATAGAAGAGGTTCCGTTTTCCGGTATATCAGGCTGATGAAATTCTCTCTCTCTTTCTGTCTCTCTCTCTCTTCCTTTTTACAATCAAAAGTATGCAAGTTGCGCGCAGCGATAATGAGAGAGAGTTTGTCTATTTATACTCAGTTTATCTTGTTTTTCTTCAAATAGTTTTTGCTTCGCCTATGTATCTATGTAAATTTCAAGTCAGTAGACATGTTTTTATTCTATCATTTGCTTGCACTAAAACTTATTCCTCGATTACATGACTTGCGCAAAGATAAAATCTCAGTTGTGGGAGTAGTCGATAATACGCGCATGTCGTCTTCGTGGTGACGTAACACTTTTGCTTGGAGCTCCGGTAACTTCTCGAACACCTGTTACGCACGCTCATGATAAATAGGTAACGTTGACCAAAGATACCTTACGATATATGGTATTGAGATTTTTCTTTCAACATTATAAATTTAATTTTTTTTAATTCAGTTTTTTAATGCAAATAAAATCAAAATGTGTAGCGATAAACAATAAATCCGCAACAAAAATATAATGTTAGAGAGAAAATATTGCATATAATGTTGAAAGATAAAATTTGATATTTTAATAATGGGGAATCAGAAAAAAAATAGAATGTTCTGCGACACAATAACAATTTTTAATTAATCAATTGTTTTTTATGTAAAAACAACTATGCGCATCAATTTGATTTATACACAATATATGATATATTTGTTATATGTTTATGTATATGTAAAATACACATTTTTTGCGCAATATTATGAAGCAATGTGTCGTTATGGTTCATCGACATCCCAAATAGATTAGGAATATTAATAAATTACACGAATATTATAATGAGAATCCTTGAAATAGAATAAAAAAAAGTATATAATCTTTCTTTGATGCTAAAAATTATGTAAGAATTATGTAATTATTTGTGATGGCAAAGAAAACATATGAGAAACACATTTATTAACGAACCATCAGCGACCTCGAAGTTCGATTCAAGGTTCGATTGTTGTAAACTGTTTTGTAGACATCGCAATACGTTCACTTTTGATGTGAATTTGGTACTTACGAGTTATTATTCGATATTAAATGTTGTCGGGGTTCATTTAATCGCACAGTAGATATGATATTTTTTGTGCGTGCAAAAGTGAAGCTTCAAAAAATGCAATACGTAAATCGAAACTCTTACGAAAAGCAATATATATTTTTATCTCATAAAGGTAAAATTTATTTTCCACTGCAATTCGAATTAAAATTTAATTAATAATTAAAATTTAGTTCGAATTATATATTTTGTTCAATTTACACTTGAAAAATTATTTTACGCGTAGAATTGATGTTTATTATGTATTGTTTATAATACATAATATTATTATATTAATATTATTAATTAATCGTATTATTTCCTTCGTTTATTGTTCGATCCGAATAAGCCTCGCGTGATTTGCACAATTTGCAAATAATAGTAAATACTATTTTACATATCTCTGCTATAGTTTTAAAACACTTCGTCACGTATAATAAAATATAAATGACTTTGTGACTCATGTTTTACCATATTATAAGAAGACAGATTTATTTATATTTGCATTTCACAAAGTGATAAATAAAATCGATTTACGCGCGTCGCCGAAAATGTTTAACGGAAAATGCAATGGCGCGACTGCAAAAGACCACGATTTCGAGAAAACATTTGTTTTTGTCCTACATATTGTTAAATGTCGCCGGTACTTCATTTTGGATTAAGTACCGGCTGACCTGTGCCAACCTTTCGTTGGCGGCCTTGTTTCTCTTGAAATTTATGCCTTGTATAATATTCAAACGTTGCGCGCATGAACGGCATTAACGTTAATGGCCAAGTTCGCATGTGCGATAAATTCAATATGGTTTATCTGCGTGTGATGCGCGCGAACGGAGACCAACACACACATTTCTACGTTCGTAGTCAATCGTAATAATTAATAATATGTGCGTACGCGGTACGTTACCATTTAAAATCTCCAACTCGTTGCATTCAGTGTCGACGTGCAACAGTAATATTAATCCTCCTCCTCCTCGCATTCCGACTCTCTTCTCGACCTGTATATAATAACATGTGACAACTTTGCACAACACTTTGTGACCGTCCGAACAATGCAACTCTTGCTGTTATTGCGAAAAATCGTGCGAAACGTAGATTTATACGACGGGCGAAAAATGCGCATGGAAACCGGAGCTAAGATCTGCTTTGAGATTTATTGTGTTCTTTTACGGAAAAGCTTACTGTTAAAAACCGACTGTAAGATTTTCGTCACTTTGTGTCAAATGAATTTGCAATAAATGAAGACGTAAAATACGACGAAATGTTTTCTTTAATAATCTGTAAAATGTCGTTAATCTGTACAAATTAATTGATTCTTTCTCTGATGTTTGTTCGGTACTTTCATCATTTTTATATATATAGATATCACGTATAGATATCACGCCCAGTAAAAATTTAATGTATTTCCTCTTTGATTATATCAAAATTTTTAATTTGTTTGACATAAAATTAGAACAAAAAACACGCAAAGTTATGTAAATTATGTAATTGTTCCAAATGAAAAATTCAATTTAAAACGCTGTACAATTGCTGCAAATATTATACTTCCGTATTTTTCATACTCTTCACTTAATTTAAGCTTTAATAGAAAGAAGTTTGAATATTAGAAAAATATATATATTTCAATAGTATAAATATATTTGATTTTATTCAAAGGTTCTACAAAAAAACAACAAACATTTTGTCAAATTAACGACAACGTTATTTAGAGTATTTGGACCATTAATATTATGCGCGTTCTAAAGTCGTAAATCGAGACAATAAACATTGTCTCGAAACAATAGTGTGAATTATCATGTAATCTCGATAACACAGTTCTAGCAGTAGGTACATTATTACGAAAGCCTGAGCCGGGATTCACTGTGTTTCCTTCTTACAAAATTCTGCTTAAATTGCTACATACTGTTACTTTTGATTACCATAGAGTGTGCAATCTTTGCATAAAAGTCGAGGCGACATAAGTCGTGCGTATTTTACTTGATGATTAGTTTCGTAATTGATCAAGCAATTAATTAACAGCAAATGAAGAATTTTTGCTTGAATAAAAAGACATAGCGTGTTTTTACTTATCACATTGTTGCGAGTAAAAATAATTTATTGTTAAATTGTACATATATATATAT